AGACATGCTGTGGAAGAGAGACAGAGATCAACACATACATGTTAATCTCTGTGGCTTTGCAGCGGTTGGTGCTGCCGCCGTGATAGGTGTCACACCACTGAGTGAACAAAATCAGCCCTAACCTGACCGTCGTTCAGTGCACCGTTCACAGCTAGAACAATGATGTGGTAGAACATATTACTTTCACATATTTATTAACTCTGACGATCTGAAAATCTACTGTTGAATTCAGTGAATGGAGCAAGATGCCTGCGTTCTTGCACAGAGGAAAGATGTGTGGGGAAAAAGGGAATTGATGCACTGCAGTAAAAATAAATGGCATCAAAGCATACTTTTTTATTTGGGACATCCTGTAGTGGAATATTTACTAATCCTTTCTTTAAGCTGACAGCCTTTTGTGCTGTTGCATATATTGAAGTGACAGCTGGTGAAAAATAGCACAGATGAGCATTCACCTGCACTGAGGATAGTAAAAGAAATAAAATGAATGTTGCTCTGTGTGCACACTACTGAGAAATGTTATGTGATTTTTATTGTGCACTGATCTTTGTGTAGAAGTTTGACTACAACACTGAATTGATCGCTGGAAAAAGGAAAACAGGATATTTCCATGTGTGCGTCCTGTCTCAGGATTCTCCTTGCTCAGTTCAAGTCGTCTCTTTGAGTACGCTTGCAATATTATTGTGGAGCAGGAATATGTGGGGCTCGACTCTGAGTGCGCCAGGAGTGAGTAAAGATCAACAGAGCCAAACGCTCAGGGCTCCGCCCCCTCATTCTAACATGGCCGACCAGCCCCCCCGAGTCACTCTAAGTAGATTTCTTTCCATGCCCAAGCAAGGAGGGAAGTGTTGGTGAGACACCTGACTCTCTTATCAAGGAACCAAGGATTGCGTTCAGTAATCCAACGTTCTTTTTCTAACTCCTCTGTGTTTCTTTATGGGAGATACAGCCCTCCCCTGGGTTGCGGCTTCCCCCGCAGCTACGCTCCAGGACTACTCAGGTCTCAGGTGGATCTGAGGCACTGGATTCCAGCACTACCTGAGCCAGGGATGACTGTGCAACATCCAACTCATAAAATCGCACAAAGGTGTGTGGCGTAGTCCAGCTTGCTTCCTCACAAATATCCTGGACTGATACACCTCTGAACAAAGCTCATTCTTCTATACCCCTAGAAGAGTCCTGGGGTGGCCTGCGATTCCTTACAGAGCTATGGCCTCTACAATCCAATGAGCTAGGGCCCGCCCTTGTAAGGGGAGGCCCAAGAAACCAACAGCTGATCTAACTTTCTGTCTGAATCCAGCTGTTGTGTCTACATATGTCTCCAAGGCTCGCACAAGTATTCAGCCTCTGCTCCTTCTCCGAGGAAAACTGGGGGGGCAGCAGCTCTACTGCGGAACAGAGCACCTGATGACGTTTCCATCACCTTACGGACAAAGGCAGGGTTACGCCTCCGACATGTCCGGGAGCCAACTGCAAACAAGAGTAGTGAATAGACAGAACTCGTTTAGCTGCGGTTAGAGCCAACAGCAGAGCGGTTTTAAGAGAGAAAAACTTCAAACCCACAGTTAGGCTCAAAGCCTGACTGACAGCTCCAATAGTAGGACCAGTGGTCTAGAGACCGGGAGCCTACGATGTGCCCCCTCATGAAGACAAACAAGGGGGTGCAGCACATTTGTACGTCCTTTGATAAATAGATGCCGTGAAGCAATCTACCATACTGGGCAAAGAAATGCTGGCAGAAGCTGAGATTGCCCCGTGGTTAGGGTGTAAGTAGGTATAAGTGTAAGTAGGCTCCACAGCCGAAGGTTCAGTGAGCCCCAGCTCACTCATCCACTGGATCTCAAGCTTAGAGCAGCCCTTGGTTTGCAACTTTGGCCCCACTTGGTGGCCTAGACTGCTGGGCAGGGAAAGTGGAGTCATCCTCCTCCTCGGCCGTATCCTCCAGATAGAGGAGATAAGAGTTGGCCGCACTCTCGCCACCTGGGTGGCCAACGTTTTGATTGAGGAGGTGCTCAAATGGTGGGACTCTTCCTCCATCATGTCCACCCAGCTCATGGTGGCTCACGGATGATGGATATCACTCGTAGCAGTAGTAGCTGACAGGCAGCGATCCTGCCTGTTCGTTACTGCTACTCTCTTCCTCCTTTCCAGGACTTGCTCTGGCATCAATGGACAGTGGGGGCATCCCCGAGGGTTATGTTCTGGCACATGCTGTTATTACATGGCTTGATTAAGGTTCACATTAGGCTGACATCTGGGGTCAGAGCTGAAACTGTTCTGGGCCACCACAGGGCCAGCAGTGTGTCTACAACTGGCCCATTGCTGCACACAATGTGCTTACACATGGCCCACATGCCGCAAAGAATGACGGCCCTTTGGTGGCCCAGATAAGGTTTGCCAAAGGCAATCCACACATGGACCAGCACAGGATCACCAGTGTGTCTGCAACTGGCCCTGTGCTGGACCATGTGTGGGCCACCTCTGGCAGACCAGGTCTGAGCCACCAAAGGGCCGTCATTCTTTGCGGCATGTGGGCCATGTGTAAGCACATTGTGTGGGCCAGATCCGGGCCATACCAATTTTGCTATGTGGGAACACGGTTTATGGCCTACTAACATGTTAATGCTAGCCGGACACTGAAAGGAAAAGGCTCAACGTAACACTTGAGCCTGAATTTGACAATCGTCGGCTAGCTCACTAGCTAAAACCAGGAAGCGTTGGAAGAGCTCGCCTAACAAGATTGCTGTTCAAAAGGGTGAAACTGTATGTACACTTCTCTCGAAGGACTTACTCAGCAAAAACTGGAACCGGAAACTGCGTTTGGCAACATACTCCTATACGGGATGCATGAGAAAGCAGCTAATCAAGTTAGCTTGGAGAAGCTGAGGGAGCTCAAAGTAGTTTCACACAGGAAGAAATGAGTTAGCAGGGGTTGGTCGGCCGTGTTAGAATAAGGGGGTGGAGCCCTGAGCACGGCTCGCCAGGTCTGTCATGGACAGACATGGCGTCATTGGAGATTCCGTAGTTGGTCACACCAAGACGATTCCTGTAGTGAAACACAGAGCGAAGGTATAAAAAGAACTGCCACAAACGTCGGTGACTCAGGTTTTTGGAGCAGCTGTGTTGCTCATGAACGCAGCCTGTCTCTCTCTCTTTGGTCGCTCCAAGGTTGACCTGTGTTTCCCTCTGACAGCAACAGAAGCTGGCGTTAGCGAGAAATAGTTCAGCTCTGCAGAACGTCGCCATGAGAAGCAAAAGTGAGTCCTGTCACCTAAAAACATCTCCTTTTCCTCTTCTTCTGCTGTTGTTTGTCACAATGATGACTTTTTCTTCTTCTCTGCTTCAGCGCCTATGATGAAGGAGCGTCCGAGCTCAGCCATCTATCCTTCTGACAGCCTTCGTCAGTCGCTGCTCGGCTCCAGACGCGTTCGATCTGGCCTCTCGCTCGCCAAAAGTGTCTCCACAAATAACATCGCAGGGTGAGGCTGAGCACGGAGCTGATTGGCTGCTGGCTGTTGTGGTTGAGCATCAGAAACAGGAACAGCAAATGTACAGAATAATAACTTGAAATCGGAAACATTCAGCTGAGCTAAAATATAAACCTCCAGGTCACAAGGATCTCCGTGACCTGGAGGCTCCGACATCGCCATCTTGTGGTTGCAGGAAGCAGCTGCTGGGAGGGTTAGAGAAGTAAAATTCATTATATGCAAGAATAAAATCACGCAGAGTTCATTAAGAATAAAACATAAAAAAAGGAATCCAGATGCTGACATCATCAAATCGCCACCCATCACAAAGTGAGGTCTTGATGCTCAGTCATCCAGGTAAGTAAATCCCATAAAGTCGATTCTGTTCATCTGGATGTTTTCAGTGGGAGAAATGTTTCGTCACTCATCCAGGTTCTTCAGTCTCAGCTGACTGCAGGTTTCAACCTTATAAACAGGACATTTGCTCAGTGACTGAAACCAGCCCACAGAAACGTTTCACTGAAAACATCCAGATGAACAGAATCGATTTGTGGGGAAGGTGAAGCAAGCTTTTAAATCCAGTGAAACTAGTTCAGTGTTTGCGGGGCAAAAGTAAAACACTGAAGCTCTCTGTCTTTAAACTAATCAGGACTTTAAGTTATTCTGTTGTTGCCACCTCTGTTTGTACTGTACTCGATTACTGTAATCGAGTATTGCAGCTTCAGTGACTTGAAAAAGTTTTCGATATGACGAGCTTCGACACACTCAGCCACGGCAGTCAACAGCTGACATGCTCACCTGCTTCTCTGCATCGTCACACCATCAGACATCATAAGTCACCTTTCTGTCTGTCCTCAGTGTGACCGAGGACTCTGCAGGTCTCAAGAGGATCCTGTCTCAGTCCACAGAGTCTCTGAACTTCAGGAGCAGGACTCTGTCCATGGAGTCTCTTACTGATGACGGTCTGTTAGTCACTTTTATTGATTACTATCAGATCTTAATTATGTGAGCAGGCGCTGTAACCTGATGGGATTCATTCTTTCTGTGTGCAGCTGAGTGGAGCCCTCTGCTGGACGAGCTGCAGAAGGAGGGCAGCTGCGTGCAGGCCGACAGCTGGAGCCTCGCTGTGGAGCCCAACTTCCTGCAAACACTTCACAAAGACCTGATCAAGCAGCAGGACGTCATCTACGGTACAGCAACAGTCACCAAACACACACATGTGGACTCGTTACACCTGCAGGAGATTTAAACTCGGAGCTCATACAGCTTCCAGACGTTTGTTCAGGAGAGCTTTTGTCACCTGGCGTCTCTGTTTTAGTTCATCCCAAAGGTGACGTGTCAGTGCTCTGTGTGGGCGGGGTCGGGTTTTTCTACAGTCCCAACTAACCTTAACTAAAGCGTGGTCTACAGCTGTGCGTGTGCTCGCCACAGCTGGAGAAGAAACGTGACCGAGCTCTCTCTCTGCCTCAGAGCTGATCCAGACCGAGTTTCACCACGTCCGCACGCTGAGGATCATGGAGGGCGTGTACCGGCGGGGGATGCTGGAGGAGGTGATGCTGGAGGCGGGGGTGGTCCACACCATCTTCCCGTGTCTGGACCAACTGCTGGAGCTTCACTCCCACTTCCTGTCAGAGCTGTTCAACAGGAGGAAGGCGGGTCTGGTGGAGGGCAGCTCCACCAACTTCACGGTGCGCAAGCTGGGAGACCTGCTGGTCCGACAGGTACGACGACTCCACCTCTCGCACCCGCACCTCGCTGCTAACAGGGCCTCTAAGTTCCCACTGCAGGCGAAAGCGCATCAAATCCACCATATCGATCATGGCATGATAGTTTGAACTGCACAAGTCCGACATTTTCAAATCCGACCTTTCGTATGTGGTACTGAGTCCGATACGTATCTGATGTTTTAGAAAGTGACTGCTGGTTGATGGTCATGTCGCATTAAATTAGTCTTTTACGTCACTGACAAAAACAGATCCCAATTATCAGCGCTGGAGAAGACAAACGACTGCGTGTCCATATAAACATCTGCACGTAGCAGCCACTGCTCCAAACAAGGCCGTTGTTAAAGCTGTTTTCTCAGTGTCCTTCTTTCTCTAATTAATTTGTCAAAACTCTGTCGGTTACAACTGTGCAGAAATAGACTGCTGCAACAACACCTACTGGCTGCCATTCTTACTTCCGTAAAGATGGAACACATTTTGGGGTCAGCTTGAAAGAGCTAAGGTCAGAGGTCAAATGTGACACGGCATCTTTCCCTAAACGTTGTCAGTACAAACAGTGGCAGCCAAATTTTTAGCAAAGGTAGGATGTTTTATGACCCTGAAGAAGAGTTCAAATATGAGGTCGTGTCCACATACAGAATGACAACAGCAATGGATGCAACAGCATCAAATAAAACCCGAGGCTTGTTCGCCCGGAACTGGACGTCACGTTTGTCAACACAAACCAACCGCTTGGCACTGATTTTAAAATTCGCCAGACGGTCGCTACAAAGACCTGAGTTTATCCACCGAACCTACACGTGTGTGTGTGTGCAGTTCTCAGGGCAGACTGCTGATGACTGGAAGAAAGTTTACTCAGAGTTCTGCAGTCGACATCCGAAAGCTGTGAAACTCTACAAGGAAGTTTTGGCTCGCGACCGGAGACTGCAGCAGTTCATCAGGGTGAGGCGCTCACCTGCGGCGTCAGGCTCGTCCTGGAACCGTCATGGTGACTTTAGATGTGTTTTGATTTACACTGCTGCAAGCTGGTTCGGCCCGGGGCCGGCTGGTGTTTCTGATGCTGACTTCCTGTCTCCATGCTTTCCCACAATGCTCAGCGTGCGACTCGCGGTCCTCTGCTGCGGCGTCACGGCGTCCAGGAGTGCATCCTGTTGGTGACGCAGCGGATCACAAAGTACCCCGTCCTCATCCAGCGAATCCTGGACAACACTAAAGGTAATCTGTGACTTTTGACCTTTAGGATTCTGTGATGACCTTTGACTTATGACTGTGATGAATCCATAACCTCCTGCAGGCTGCGAAGAGGAGGCGCAGGCTCTGAGCCGCGCACTGGGCCTCCTGAAGGAGCTGATCAGCTCTGTGGACAAAGAGGTCCTGGAGCTTGACCGGAGCAGGAGGCTGCAGGAGATCCACGCCCGCCTGGACCCGCGTGCCCAGGCAGAGGTCCGGGGAGGAGGCGTGTTCAGGGGTGGAGAGCTGCTGAGGAGGAGGCTCCTGCACGAGGGGACACTCCTCTGCAAGGTCCAGGGTACCAGGATGAAAGGTAGTGGGCTTTATCACCTGCTGTGGTGTAACATGCGTGCGGGCAGAGCTCGCAAGTCACGACTGTGTTTGTCTCCAGATGTGCAGGTGCTGCTGATGTCAGACATCTTGGTTTTCCTCCAGGAGAAAGACCAGAAGTTCACCTTTGTTGTGTCACTGGTGAGTCTGAGAACATTCGAAAGCCCCCTGACCTCCAGCGCTGTTCAAGTTTTCCTGTCTGCTCACCTGTCTGCTCACCTGCATTTCAGGACAAGTCTCCAGTGGTCTCATTGACTAATCTGATTGTCAGAGACATAGCCAATCAGGAGAGAGGGATGTACCTGATCAGTGACTCCACCCCCCCGGAGATGTATGAGCTGCACGCCTCATCGAAAGAAGACAGGAAGACTTGGATGAGCCGCATCCAGCAGGCCGCCACCAGGTGAGCAAGACACACGTCTGTCCTGAGGAAATGAAGTGCTCTGGCTGTGCGTCACTTCCTACCCCGATGACGACATTTATCACAACACAGAGCGCCTGTAAACTCAGTGAACAGTTTATATAATATAGTCATATTCCTGCAGTCGAGTGTTTCCACCAGTGACATCGTGTATTTGTGGGAGTTTGATGTCCGGTTTTCTCTTTAGTAATGACGTGCTGCAGGAATCAGAAACTATTAATGAAACGATGTATTTAAGAGCAACAGGCTGAACCAGTTAAATTATCATAAAGTTACAAACATAAGAAATCGCTCTAACATTCACAAACGGCTCGATTATAAATATGCATCATATTACAGAGGTTAAATATATATAATTGATCTTTAACCTTCTGCACCTCTACTTACAGTGGGGCAAAAAAGTATTTAGTCAGCCACCGATTGTGCAAGTTCCCCCACTTAAAATGATGACAGAGGTCAGTAATTTGCACCAG